GAGGCACCGGCAGCCCGCGACGACGTACGGCTTTTTTTTTTGGTTTCCGCTGCGGCGGCGCGGGGGTGACGGGGCGTGTGCCCGCCGCTTTCTGCGCCCGCTGCGGCGAGAGAGAATAGACGGGGTGCGTGTGTGCGGCGTGTGCCTCACTGCGAGTGTGCGGGGGGCGCCGTTTCATCGCGTCCCGCCGTGCGGTGCCGCGCCGATCGGTGAGGGCAGAGCAGCGGCAGGCTGTGCGGCGGGCTTTGGAGCTGCGAGGGGGGGCCGCCGGCACATCCACTTCGTACCTGTGCGTGTGTGAGTGGCGGGAGGGAAAAAAGGGCCCTTGGGCCTCGTTGCGGTGTGCGGGTTGCCGCTGCGGGCTATCGTGAAGGCACATGCGGAGGAGCGTACACAGAACCGTCTTCTGCCGTTGCTCCTGCTTTGTTTCCTCCTTGGCGTGACGGCAGTGCCTCGGCCATTCCTTCTTTCTCTGTTTGCGTGTGTGTGTTGTTTGAGTGCACCCATTGCGCGGGCTGCCGATGTGTTTGTCCTTCCCACTCTCTTTCTCTTGTTTCTATTTCTGCCCTCTCGCCAGACTCTCTGCGTGTGTGCGTGTGTGCTGCGGTGCGAGGAGTGTGACGATGGCTGGCCGTGCGCTGCTGTTGGTGTGCGCCCTCTGCGCGCTGTGCTGCGCCGCCGGCGGGGGCTGGGCGTGGCATATGGACTACTGCAATGAGACGCAGTGGACGTATTTGAAGGCGGTGAACTCCAGCAAGACTTACACAGAGCTTCTGGACGAGTTCTGCGGTACAAAGAAGGAGTTTGTGGAAAAGGTGAGGGCGGAGGCGGAGAAAGAGGACGGGGTTGTGCGTTCGGGGCATGGCGGTGCAGGCGCCACGGGCAGCGCCCCCGTTTCAGCGCCGGGCGCCGCAGTTGGTGCCGTGACTCCCGACCAGAAAGTCTCAGAAAACGGTGAAAAACTAAAACAAGCGCCACCCCCGGCAGAATCATCGAGAGGTTCCGCTGAGCATTCGGAGTCGCAGTTACCAGACGGAAGAGAAGGAAGAGAAGAAGTTTCGCCACAGGGCGGATCGACAGAAGCCAGCGGAAAAGGGACGGTGGACGCAGCGGCTGGAAGTGCAAAGCAGTCAAGTGCGCGCTCTACTCCCACAGCCGGGGGCGAGGGTGTCGTCAGCGGGCTGACTGAAGGGCGGCCGGCGGGGAAAGCCGGCGAGACTGCGCCGCCTGAGAGCACGGTGCAACGAAACCCGGTTCAGCACGACAATACCCCCGCCGCGGAGGGAACTGCAAAAACATCACGGGACACTGCGGGTGGCGAGGGAAGTAATAACCCCGGGAGTGACAGCGGCAGCGGCCCCGCGGTGCAGCCGCAGCCGCAGCCGGGGAGTTCAGTGGCGGCAAACGAAGCTGGCGACGCAGAACAAAAGGAGCAGTCCGCAGTGCCCACCTCCAAGCAGGAAGCAGAAACGAGAGGCGGCGGCGAAAGGCAGGCCACTCAGCAGGCAGCGGGGGCGGCTGTTCAAGCGGTGTCCACCACCAACTCGACGAGTGCAACGAAGGCGGTGACCGGCGACAGCGACGGCAGCAGCGCCGCGGCCTCGCACTCCACCTCCCCCCTTGCGCTGCTCCTTCTGCTTGCGTGTGCGGCTGCCGCTACGATGGTGGCCGCGTGAGGGACTGAGTGAGAAGGAGAGGGAGGGCCGTGGGCGCACACAGCTCGTCCTTCTTCCTCTATTTGTGTGTGTGTGTGTCCCCCTGCACGGACTCTCTCGCCCTCGCCGCCCCCACGAGGCAGACACGTAATGTGCTCATAACTATACACACAACTCCACTCATGCAGGCCCGTCGGTCTTCTTTTTGCTTTGCCTCCTGATGAGCCGCTGCCGTCCTGCTTGGCGGCATGGGTAGAGCACCGTAACTGTTTTTATCCTTTTTGTTTGTTTGTTTCCATTGCTGTCAGTGGGCGATCTCTCTTTCTCTCTTCCTGGACTGGGCTGTGTGGGGAAAAAAAGGGAGAGTGTGTGTGTTGCGCGTCCCCACTGCTCGGTGGACGCGCCCCCACGCCACGGCTTCACTTCACTTGGTTTGTTGTGTGTGCTTTGGTTTAATGTGTCCATGCCACTGGCTGCGCGTGCGGTGTGTGCGTGCCTGTGTGTGCCCCGCTCCGTGTGTGCGGTGGCCCTTTCTCCTGCTGGGTGTCGCTGCGCGGGGTCGTGTCTGTGGGCCTATTTTTTTGTCTCTCCCTCGCATTTTCCTTTTGACGGGTGGTTGGTGTTCAGCCGCAGCGCAAGCCAACAACAACTGCGAAGGAAACAAAGTAAAGGGGAGGAAT